GTTTTAAATTATTTACAATTGTATTTTTTACATTATGGTCTCTCCAAAAGAATCACTCACGATCAAGGCAGAGAATTAACAAAAAATATGATTAAGGAATATTGAAAAGATTTAAACACAGATCACCATACAACCACTGCTTTGAACTGATCTAATTCCCCATACAGAAATTCCTTTCGACTTTCCTTGGAAAACTACTAATCTTTCGAGATGTAGACAAATTCTCCCTATTACCAAAATTAATAACAAATGCAGTCTCCCACTAAAATTCCATCATCCTTTCCAAGACAAAAACACAATTCATTTTACTTTATGAAGCATACTACGAGAACAATGCATTGGAACATTTTTATCTCCTTTCAAGTAAATAAATGTATGTTCAGTGACCTTCCCACCATTAAACACTCATTTAATGTAGGAGAATCTGTGTTTGCATTACATCTTTTACAGTAAAACAAAAAGTAAAAGACACTTTTCAATAAAGGAACAAAAACAAAGATTGAGGATAACAATGTTCATAGTAAAATGAAAAATGGAAAAGTACATGTGAGGAATTTCAGGGATATCAAACCTACGAGCAACACTTCTACACCTGTAGATTCTTCTCATGATATGACTCGAATTAACGACCAGGAAATACTAAAAACTGAAATGCCGATGAACTTGGACCAACTGCTATTATTAGCAATTAACATAACTTTGTTTAATTTAAATAGATTAACTTATGGATTAATATAATATTCATAATTTTCCACATTTCTCTAATTACAAGCTAATAATACATTTACGTTTCTCATTTATGAATTCACCAAAATCCCTCAAAGACACTTAAAATGACAAACTCTTACCGACAAAACCTAGTGAAAACAGGTCCTATTTAGGAAAATAATTAAATTTATTTCTGTAAATTTTAAGCAAGATAATTAAGGTAACTTACAAAGCCAGATAGATTCATTAAGAAACACCCACACTCAAGACAGCAAAACACTAATGGTCATTTGTCATTTAGTCATTTAATTGCTGAGAAAATCTATGTCGAAATTAACCTTGTAAGTATGAACAAGGGGTATAGTCAAAATATGTTACAAGAAGGTTTTAAAATGGGCATATTAAAACAAAATCATTGTGTTGTGATTAAAGATACGCAGCAAGATTATACGGAAGAAACTATCAGTCTGTCATCCAAATATAGAGCTAATGTACAGCTCTTTTCTCATGAAGACCTGAACAATATCGTAAATCACTCATGCGGTTTAACCTGAAAAATTCCTGATATCAATGAATCGCTCTCACTTATATGAAGATCTCAAGTTCACAAAAACACAAATCGTTATATGTGACAACGAATTGTGATTCATTCAGGACCAATCGCAAACGCGAACTAATTTAACAATTGTTTTAAATTTTCCCTGTACCAACTATAGAAAATATTGTACTAGTTTTTGCTGAGAAGTAGTATCAAAGATCAATTTCAAAATGGTCCAATAAACTGTATTAAAGCTGCTCAATCATATGTATGTATTCAATACATTATGCGTATGACTAATTATAATTTAACAAATTCTGTTCGATGTAATTTTATTTTTTATAAAAAAAACGCACAACTTTTTTAACTATTGAATGAAGAACATGTCTATTAAGGGCACTTCTAGTTGTAAGTTCTAACTTACCACAAGCTCATTCTGCATCACCTTTTGGAACAAAACGGCTGTCGACCTAAGTTGACGTTTGCTTGCCCCCGCTTGCTGGGTCAGTTGCAGCGAGCAGTGAAACCTTGGACCGCACTCCCGTTTTCTCATGCCGGTGAATCGAACAACATAACTTTTTTCTATTTCTTCTTCCAGCTCCTTTTCAGGTGATGCCGATATTAGACTATCTTAACCTTTACACTAGACACTGACACACTTAAGGGTGGCTTCTCGGTCTGTAGTCAGCAGACTTGCAAGGCTTTCCACGACCACACGCATAGATGACAGTCAGGGACAAAGAACCATGCCCACGGTTTTGGCTCGAACCCGCGACCCTTGCGACCGACGCGCTGAGTCGGCACACGCTCAAAACATAACTATAATTATCACATCAAAATAAGCACAGTTTAAGAATTCATAAATTAGTTACACTTTCGGTTATGAATATGGCTCTCCATACATCTATCGTTCCATTAGTGGCAAAGTAGCAATGCTCAATGAAAGTAAAGACACTAAAAAAAATACATCAACTCGTAAATAATATAACTTTAATTGTATTCTTTTATGCTATTTATACATACAGATATATACAATTTTTTACAAAGTTTCATACATACTATATCTCTCCTTAAAATGACTTACAAGCTTTTTACAATATACACAAAATGAAAATAAATATCAATTTCTATATTTAATGTACACATATATACAATATTACCCTTGGAAAAGAACCGTTACAAAGTGCCTCTCAATCACACATCAACGAACCATAGTATATGGTAACATTGTTTTTCTCCTGCACAGTGAGTATCGTGAGTGTTAAATCTTGATATTATTAGTTCAGTGCAATTTTATGTTCTTGACACCCGCATTTACTCGACGGCCATCGCGTAAGCTCATACAAATTAGTAGTAATAGTCCGTTGATTCAGAACATTACCAAGAGAAGCGGCTCGCATTTCTGTTCAAGCAATGAAAATATTCCAAACATAAATCGCTTTCACAGTTCAAATTTCATAGGGTTACCATATGTTTGTGTACTGAGGCATTCGAAGAATATTTAAAAAAGAATTTGGAAGAAAAATAATCTGAATGCTACTTAAATTTTATTTCAGTGGGTTGGTAAAATTGCATCATTATATTACCTACTCTGGAGGCTAAACAAAAATGCGCAAGACAAAGAGGTTAGAAAGATTAATGCTGAGAACAGGCTGGACATCGATTCTCATCTTCGTCTAATACCGTTTTAGAGGCGACTCAGAGCGTGGAGATGTATAAAAAGAAAACGAGAATTCTGAATTCATAACGGTCCTGAGACTTGGACATCATTCCACCACGGAAAACAATCTCTAAAGCATACCTGTCACTTGTATTTATGAAATATAGATTTATTGCCTTCTTGATTTATTGACGTTCTTTTCGATTCATCGTATCACAAAAACCAACCTTACGGAATACTTGTATAGAATTTCTGTTCAAAGGACAAGCGGGCGTTTTTCTTTCGTAAAGAATGTGACTATCATCTAACATCATCGTAAGACCCAGATAGTTGTTTATAGACAGTTATGTCTGGTATTTCATAATTTTCGTCTACTCTAGAGAACTTTCCCATTTAACACATTTTGATAATGATTTTCTTTGGCTTTCTCAGTACGGTAAGACAATTTAATGAATGTTAGTGAATTTTGTGAGGCATTCAATGAAATGGACAACGATTTTCGTTGCTACAGAGTGCTTTAGAGAGCTATTACTAAGAAATAAGTAAAGGCATTACTAAATTGTAAACAATTAACACACTATTCGAATATCACAGAAAATTAATATTAAGTTTAGTGGAAAATAATATGAAGGGCGAACACGGTGACCAGATCATCAACTTTTATTTGCATGCATTTTTTTAGCCATTTAACCACTGGCAGATTAAGCAAAAGTAAGTTTCACTTGAGTAATTTATGATTACCTTCTGTTTGACGATATTATTTCATTACTATCATATATACTCTATACATATTTAATATACGAACTTTGTTTATTGTATTTCTTAATCAACACTTACTCATTTAGTACAAAAACATTACGACTAATATTAGCAAACATTCGATTTGGGCCACCTCGTTACGTATAATGTTTTCTTCATTTAACCGTAGTGAACGAAATCTTTTGAGCAAGGTGAGTTATTCGACAACGTATAACTTGTAGTTTTTGACTGATATGCCAGCCAGCATCAGGACCAAAGCCGGTATTTGAAGGGGAAGGACATATCAGTTCGCACTCACTTGAAATATTTTTAAAATGTTAGCTCGAAGCAAAGAACGTTTATTCATTGTGAGAATATTCCTTTTGCTGTTATGAAATCAATTCATGGTTACTCCATTGCCGAACGGGGCCCTAGGTTCCTTGCCTCTGTCCCACCTGGATCCGCCACAGGCCTTCGCAGCTGCACGTTCGCTACCCGAGCAGTTCGCGCGAACAAGCGGCGTGTCCGGAGGTCGAAGCCAGCTGCTGGCGGTCGCTCGACGGCGTAACTTCACGGCACCGGGGTCCTATATTTCCGCGGCGGACAGCGCGCCGCGGCGACCGCGCCAACCGGCTGCACGGTCGATTCTCGAACCGGACGACCGTTGGCCCGTCCCTCCACAAAGAGAGAGACAGAGAAACGGATACGGAGAGAACGAGGGAGTTGATGAAAAGTAGACAAGCAATGGCCCGCGAGCCAATGTTGAAAAAAAGTTTTGAAACTTTTTGTATTTAAATTTTTACTAAATATTCTTTAGCTCAAGGACATCTCGGACATGTGACGGAGTGAATTTCATTGCTCTGCTAGTATTTCCTTGGAGTCACCGACAAATTTGACGGATTGGAATGTCTTATACGTGTGATATCAATGTTGATGAAAAAAAACAACTCACATTTGAACAGCAGTTAAAAAATGGAGTCTATGTTGTGTCTTTCTTCAGAAAGCGAGCAGCAACAACAATCCAAATAAAGTATGCGAGTTTACAGTCGTTATCACTTAACGTGCCCCATGCGAAAGAATACATTCACTACCGCAAAAAGGTGGAAAATAGCAAAACAAACCGGCAAACAAAATGGCGAAACTTCAAATACGGCGAGGGAGAACTCTCATACATCTCTAATACTTTTAGGGCGCTCTGTGAGATTTCGTTACGCGAATCCTAGTGACTTCGGAGGCTGAGAATTTTAGTCTCCCGAATAAACACAAAACAAATGTAGTTATCGAGGAAATACACTATACTACATTGAGCAATACTTGTAAAAAGATTTTTAAAAAATTACTAATATTTATACATACCTAAAATCACAAATTCTTGACATCCGAATCAATATGAATTGATATTCGCATCACGATTTTTCTCACACTGTCTTTCTTGGTACACAATATAGTCTTCTTTAACAATATTTAAAACTGACTCGTTACTTAAACACCACTTGCACAAATACTTGAAACGAAAAGGTGGTATTGTCGATAAATTAAACTGGAATTCATTCTAATTAATGCCCCGTCTTTTATAGGCTGCGTACACTTATGACCGTCGATTGCGTAAGACATAATTTGCGCAATATAAATTACGCGGAGTAACCATTTTCTGTATTATAAATGGCAGGGCATGTATTTATTTAATAAACACCGAAGTATGATAATTTCAAGTAAAGTTTTAACAAGTGATTTTTTTAAATTTATTTTAGTATTTACTCTGATTTATACCCCAAGTTTTAAATTTATGAAAACTATATAGTTTTGGAATGAATTTAATGTGTACACAAATTGCTATAAAATTAATGCATCACATAAATTCAGTTTACTAATTAAATTTAATATTATTATTTACGAAAATTCAACGTACTCTAACAAAATAAATCTTGTAACAAACCAAATGAGTTCGTTCGAAAGATGCTTCAAATGAACACGATATTCAAGACCATCTACTGGCATCAATTTTACGATATGCAATTTACTACAAGAGATATTTACACTAAAATTAGAAAAATTATTTCCAATAAAAAAACACGCAAAAATGTTTTCTAATTTTTTACGTACACTTTTAGTTTTCGTCAAGCAGAACGGGAGAAGATAACATCGTGGGGTTCTTTCCCTAGTTGCTGTTATGTTTACCACTAAATAGCCACTGACTGCACGGTTATTTAAAACCTATAGCACACTCTAGCGAGCAATCCTTGCATAGGTACACCTTAATAATTAGGGACTTTCTGGGCGGCTCAACGAAAATTAAGTTGCTACATGGAAAATGCAAGATTATCGGTAGAAGCAAATGAGTTTGATATATAGAGTACCGTAAATGCAAGCGACACAAAATAATCTTTCTACTTAGCAAAAGCGATTGTAAATTATTTCTGGCTCAATGAGTGGATGTGATGGTGGTCATTACTGGACTGAGAATACTAGGTAATTTTCTCTTAAAGGTATTTTACGAAGTAAAAGCAGTTTTAGAAAGTAATATTAGAGAGAATACATTTGATGATCACAACTTCTTTTTGAAGAGAAAGCAGTCTGCTTCAAAAGAGTGAGGGGTCCAGAAGAAGGAAAGGATATCAAACATGGCGACAGATTAAGAGGCAGTAGTTTGAAAGTAATTTGGACAATTGAGTTTAGTTTGATTTCGATTTTTCACAAAAATTGGTCCATAAACTTAAACCATTTTTCATTAATAGTTCTCCAATACTTAACTATTTTGAGGCAAAATTAAGAGTAATAGTTTTAAATTATAACGTATTTTAAATCAGATCTTCTATCATTAATTTCAATTTAGAAAAAAATTATCTAAGGAGATACGAATTTCCTCAGCAATATTACCATTTGCAATAAAAAGTTTTGAACTGGCCACTACCTTCAGGAAAACCTAAATTCGAACCTGCTCAGTGCTCCACCCAAGATCGTGACAAAGAGGCTGGCTTTGCAGCGACCTCCAAGGGCAACCTTATAATTAGCATCGAGAACAGGAATGCGAGCGGCTCGTTAGAGAACGTAGTGCGGGTGGCAAATGAATAAACATTAAGCGGACGGATTATCTGAAAGAGACATGTTCAGTTGGAGTAATTGAAATGACTTAATGCTTTCTGCAGTAATTGGGCCGGGCGGGATCTACAAGCTTGCTGGAGAATGATACAGATCCCGCAGGTATGCAGTTCCTTTCTCTTTCATTGCCGACTACCAATTGGGCCGGTGAAAGAATGCGACGGTGTGCTGGAGGTCTAAGAGAACAACGTTCTTGACATTCTTGTAGAAGCGGACGTCGGTTGGGTTGTTTCATGAAGTCCACTAAAAGGAGAAGATACTCTCGTTTCCTTTGACTGCTTTCGCAACTGGATTTTCCAGAACGCAGATGGTTGCACATTGGCATAGAAAATGCATTTACTTGCATCTCCTCATTTCCTTTCGCACTTGGACGCGAAGAAGTGTTTCGTCAACCACTCGCTGACATCACCGGTAGTTTCACTATTATGGAGCTCGTCGATCGCGTCTGCTTTCAAAGATCAGGAATCCCAATCTTACGTTATCCACTTCCACCAAAGGCATTCGCGTAAGAGACATCAATCAATTGAAGAACATTCCCATTATCATCCTTGCATTAGGATAATCTGTCAAATTATCTCAGCTGGCATGCAAGTCAAAAGTACTTTGCGCAACATCAAAACAATTTCCCGTTTGTTTCTTTAAACTCGCTACAATTGCATCACTAGAAACAAATTAATTTCATAACGTGACCCTCCCTCAGTCATTCTGCACCGTCACATACAGTAAACATAAGTCACAAACATATACTTGGGTAGTTTTCTTTAATTGTTTTTTAAACAGTTTCAATACGCAGCAATATATGAAATTAACCTACGGTTATGTACATTCATGATTACTTTAATTGAAAGTAACCTTGATTTATCACATTCTCTCCTACAGATGCTGTAGTCGTTCACACTAAGTTCTAATTGTCTCAATGCACCATCACAAACACAATTATATTTGAGCAGTTACTAAAATTGGCATAAGAAAAGTTTTGCGCGATAAATATCCGATTAAAGAACGCTTTGCACTTGTAACGTTTGCACCCACATCGAAAATAACTTAATCTTCTTCACCTCCTAGTCCGTCCGCACATTCACGTGAGTCGTCATCCACGCGTACATAATTTGATGACTGTGTCCAAACACAGAATGGCGAACACTTTACACAACGTCACGAAACGTTAGTCGTCCTTTGGGCGAACATTTCTCGTCCGTTTATCGGCAGCCGCAACCGATCACCGCCATGTCCTGGTAGTTCTTGAGCACCACCTTGTCTTCGTCGTCGAGGAAGAGCAGCGAGATGGACGAGAGCTGTGTGGGCACGCAGCACGGGCGCGGCGCGGCCGACGGGTTCAGCGAGTGCACCAGCGTCTGCACCACCGCGTGGTTGGTGGTGTTCATGTGCGCCGGCAGCGGGAACGGGCACTCCCCCTGGCAGTAGAAGGCGTCGTACCTGCGGCAACGATTGGAGTGTGCTTTAAACATAGGGAATAACTGCATGATGATGCGTAGGTTTAGTGTGTAGGTTCATGCACTTTCATGACAATAATTTCAAAACGAAAGCTGAAAATATAACGATTTTGATGTCTCTCCCATTTGGCTTCCAGTGAACGATTTTAAACAAGTAAGGTACCCCCCCCCCCCCAAATCAGGAGTGGTGGTTACTATATATTAAGTAGTTCGCAGCGTTCCTTTCTTAACAAAAAGCTACGAAATTTGAGTTGTTTGAAATGCGCAGCTAGAATGGAAACGGGAAGATGGCGTCACGCCCAACTTGGCAGGTTCGCGAAATATGGATTAGAGACCATCCTGTTGTGCGATTTGTGATTAGAAATTGTATTTATTCAATGTACTTTCTTAGTATATATCTTGTGATATCTACGGACAACAACAAAGAGGTGAGGGGATCTGATTATTATTTGGAAATTGAATTTGTTATATTTTATTACATAAACTAAGGTAAGATTGCTAGCAGGATTTACTATTATAGGTCAAAACAAACGTCGGAAATATGTATGTCTATTTATTTGACACATTTGGGTCGCATTAATCCGATTTTTATCAACTGAAAGTTTTCCCAGGCCTGGGTCCGGTTTTTATTTATTGTCCACGCCTGAGGATAAGGGAGACATGTAGCAAGGATGGTGTATTCACTGTTGTTATGATACGTAAATAAATATTCTCTTCACTATATCTATCATACTTGGCCTGCCAGAGCTTCTTTTTGTCAATCTGAGAGGATTGTAATGAAAGCTACAGCTCTATTTTTGCCCTGGCTGGGATTCGAATTCGGTATTGCGCCACGGAAAGCTAGCACGCTGACCACAAGCGACAAGAGCAGCATACATTAATCAATCAATTGGTGAACGATTCCTTATTTTACATGGTGAGGTTTAGAAGGCCATTAGTCCTGCTCTTTCAACTGTCCACGCAAATTTCGCCACACTCCTTTCGCAATCTAGCAGAAAAAGGTTTTTAAAAATATTTAGCTCAAAGACTCTTTTAGGTTTGAGAATCTTTTACATGCAGCAAATCTACACCATGGAACATCCGGCTTCACTTCCCCTCGGAAGGGAATGTTTCGATAAATTCTTCGTCATGAAGTCGCTAATTAAATCGGAGTACAGTGCTTGTTAGCCTTACAGATACCTCGCTGATCAGCAAGTGTTCGCTTTCTGTGACGCGATCCAAGATCGATTCCCGGTCGGGGCAGATTATAGTGTGCGCTTTCCTTGCAATGTCCCATCTATTGTAGTGTGACGACGAGAAGGCTTAATTCTCCGGTTGAGAACACCAGAGCCGTGCTAACCAATGGCCCGGACGCTGCTGCCGGGCCTTGGCCCCGTCGAGTGAGAGCAGACAGAAGACAGACAGACAGACAAACAGACAGACGGTGGTTCTTACCCCTGCGGCGCGACGATCCAGTCGCTCCATCCGACGTCCGCGAAGTCGACGTAGAGCGGTCGCCGGCGGCAGGTGTCGCGCGGGGCGGGCTTGAAGCGGTGGCCGGAGCCTCGCTTGGCGCGGCCACCGCCGCCGCCGCCGCCGCCGCCGCCGTGTCGTGCGGGCGGGGCGCGCGCACGCGCGTTGCGCCCGTCGTCCGTGTAGGCAAGCAGCAGCGGGCGCACGCGCAGCCAGTCGGCGTGCGCCTCGCCCGCCGCGCGCCGCAGCCGCACGCGCGCGCCCGCGCCGCCCTCCGTCGCCGGCGCCTGCGCCTCCGCCAGCGTCACCTGCAACGCGCACCGCACCGCTCGCTCACGCTCCGCCGCCCCCGCCAAAGCACTCGTTAAAATGGCAAATCCCTATCACTACAGTGCGCCAGCAACGACTGCGACGATAAAACATGCTTGCACTACACTTTCGGGACCACCGACCTTAGTGGTTGATGAGGGCTTACTATTTAAAATTGCATTAATGTTGGTAGCAACCAGATCACTGGGAAACAACTAAAGGGGACCACACTTCCAGCATCTGTTATGACGCATCTGAAAAGCTTCTGGTAAAAGACAAGAGCGCTGTCTGTTACCCGAGGGAATTCGCCCCGGGGTGGGCATCTAGGCGATGACCTCTATCCAGACACCCCGCAATCGTACACCTTTGCTCTTGGGCTGGTATCTAGATGCCGCCAGAACGCAGTTTTCCCTCTCGGTAACCTTCTCAATCGATGCCTGGGTCGGGTCGCCCTGCCAGCTCAGAGCTAGCAGCTTTCTAAGCCGGTGCCGGGGTCTAATATGATTGTTATTGACAATTTTGTTTTCCCTTGTTACTATCTGCAGCTGGAGCTACCAGTTGCTAGCACTCTCACCAGCAAGGTGTCACTGCGCAGAATCTCCTTGTACTTATCGATGCACGCGGAAATGGAATGGAAACTATTAAGCCTCCGGACGTGTGAGAGGTCTCTAAGTTTAACACTCAGCAACTCGAGGAAAATATAAGAACATCTATATTACTAATTTTAAATGTGCGCAGAAATTCAACGAAAACTACGCAGCCTCCGGTTGTGAAAGAGATGTCAATGTCTTCCTTACAAACCGAACACTGTTTATATTAATAGTTTATATTTCTGTTCTCTGCCACCGAACACCATAAGCCAAATTATAGAGCAAAGATATTAAAAAAAATTCCATCTACACTCGAGAAAATGCAAAAACGTGTTACTAATTTACAAAGCGCAAAGAAATCTATGCACCCTGCAAATGCGGTATTGATACGGGAACTCGGGTAGTACGAGTTGGACGTTCAGTATGTCGAATTCTATTTAGAACGAGTTTCGCAAACGTATTCTTATCTTCATTCAAATGTGCGGAGGAGGAAAGATGTGGTCAGGTTTCCATATTCGCATGGTTGCTTTTATGTACTACGCTACTTCTCATTCATATGTTACGCAATCATCTCTCTAAGGAACTAATAATTGAAGAGTTCAGTAAGAGATAGTAAGCCACACGCGTGCAGTGTTCAGATATAGGCAAACACATAACAAACAAAGGATGGGAAAGAAAAAAAGTCTGATGTTATCCTGCCATATAGCGCATAATTAGAAATTTGTGTTACTGAGTTGGAACACTGTGGTCGGAAAGAATCATAGCATAGTCAACTTGAAAAACTCTAAATTGTGGCTATCTTTCTCTGACCCCTTAAATGGCTGGAACAGCAACAAGATAAGATACACCTACCACAGAAAATCTGCCACTGTTCTTAAAAATTAATATCTCGATTTCGGCCGAATTATCTTATATGACTCTCCTTAATGTACGTGAACAATTTTTATATCTTAACAAGATAACGCAACCTTTTACCAAAATCGTGATGTTAACATTTACGAATTGCGGAAAGCTTCCAGTGTCAGATTTAGCTTGACTTGTCAACTATTATATTTCTCGCTCCAGTTTTCTTTTTTTATTGATTTGAGAAATACACATTCACGTTGGTACAGCAAACTAAATACCCATTTTGCCTATATACAGCCTACAGGAACATCGACCGCGAACAAGTATTTGCGCCAGCCTTCACTTCCACCTCCTCGCACCCCGACTCACCTCCACCAGAAGCCCGTGGTTGCCTCGCGGCGTCTCCCGCCACCTCTTCACCGCCGGCAGCACGTCCAGCTCCAGCACCGCCTCCGCCACCACCTCCTCCTCCTCCTGCTCGTCGCCGTGGCCGGTGCCCGCGCGTCGGCGCTGGCGGCGGCGGCGGGCGGGCGCGTGCGGGGGCGTTGGCGCGGGCGGGGGCGGCAGCAGGCGCGTGTCGAGAAGGCGCAGCAGCGGCGGCGAGTCGCGGCGCGCCGGCCGCACCACGTCGTGCACCAGCACGCGACGCGCCTCGCCGGGCCCGTCGCCCGCGTGGTGGCGCACGGCCAGCCGCAGCTCCGCCGCCGTCAGCGCCTCCGCCGCCGGGATCGACCGCACGTCGAAGCTCAGCCGGAAGCGGTGCTCGCTCGGGGCGGACGCGTCCGCGTCGCGCTCTGCAGCATACACACACACACGCACATAAGCCCCAATCCACAAACACTACAGGCGTACCGCAGGGGTACGGGAAACGTCCTTCAAAATTTTAAAAAGGAGCCATTTATAAAAACATATTTTAATTCCGTACTTCTGTTCAATGATTGTCTACTGATTCCGGGCTCGTCAAGCTCTAACGTCGTTACTTCCGTAAGTGAAGAGCATGTTGTTTTTTTATTGCGAGAAGTGGTGGTGATCTTCCCACACTGGATAGCAAGATCCGGCACTGACCTACGTCGCCTTGCGAGGTTTTCCCCAACCAGGTATCTACCACCATAGTTGCACCATCCCAGCCGCTACAAACTTTAGCTTCCCGACAAGTGAGGTAGTGTAATGCTTGTAAGTGTAAGTGATGTAAGTAAGGGGTGAGGATAGGACAAGGTAAAGGAAGCGCTGCTCCGGCGTTTGTGAGGGCAGTGCTCCTGGTGCTGATCAAAGAAAAGACGGAAAACTACCGGTTGGAGCAGCCGGACGGTAGAATTCTCTTCCACACAGTCGCTGAACCCGACCTACCTGTCTAGCCAGTGTTGAAAATCCTGTCACTGTCCGGACACGAACTCTAGGGACCTCCCTGTCGGAGACACCACAATGACATCAGTTGATGCCCTGAGCCACCTAGACGATGGTATTCCTCAAGATATACGCGATTAACCCTCATTTGTAGCCCCCAACGTTACGCTAAAACGATACCGGAAAACGATACTCCACGAAGAGAATGTAATCACGTGTCTTCTGTCAAATAGTTGCAAAGTACTAATTAAATACACTTATTGTCTATCGGTCTCAGAGAATAAAAGTAAGAAATACATGATGTGTCTACCAGACAGCGAATGAGATTAAGTGATATATAACGCAAAGTATGAAGCACTAAATGATAATAAATATATCATAATTACTAGACGGTCATTCACTTTTATATATCTATGTAGTAAATGTCTTTGACTCACGATAATAAAATGAAAATCAATATTCATTAATAGGTGATGGTTGTTCCAAAATTGTTTTTGACAATCAATTCTTACTGATGTGATGCATGATTTCAAATTTCATCTCATTCTAATTCAGGAACAAAACACTTATCATGCACGTATTCCAGAAGTAAATGTGAAGATTCCCGTGCCGTTTCCAAATGAACTCTCGTGCGTTAATAAATTATGCAACATCCACTCTCCATTTGCGGTTCAAAAGACTCAGCTTAGCCGTCTGCAGAGGTGATCTAGAGAAAAGCCGATTAAGACAAAGATCGTGCAGCAAGCAGACGCGATTGCAGACCCGTTCCGTGACGTCACGTTCTACACGCGTAAATCTTCCGTCGCATTTCGAGTTTCCGGCGGACGAGGAGGTCGGAAAAAATTTCCGGTTGGCTTCGCCCACTGTTAATGAATCTGCAACATCTACCCAAAATGTGATGCAATCACGCACGATAAATTTCACCTCCAGGCGTGACTAAGTTTATAAATGAATCCACTGGCCCGACTTGCCACACTCTTAGAAGCGTAGTGTAAGCATAGCGAGATGACTTGAATTGGAATTGGATAAAGAAATAATATAAATTTCTTTTACAGATCTATAAAGTTTATGCAGCGCTCGCGAAAATATTTTTATCACCCACATACAATAAAAAGGTACTTTAGCAACACATTTTTGCCTATTAATAAGCGTCTTTTCTTTTTGAATTACAAAATAGTAACTGAAATTAATAACATTTTTTAACGATTCAGTAAGATAATCATTCGAGGCATTGATTGAACCTAGAGGTATAATTTTAAAGAGCTAATAAAATATATTTACTCTAGAACGATGTAGGTAGTTTATTGTGAATGAATACGATAATATATGAACGAAGTGTATTTACCATTGATCAAAGTTAACAGATCATTGCTTGAACAAAAGTGTTTTTAAATAGATGTACACAAATTGATGCATTACCGTGTGCATTGAATGAAATGTAAACATAATTTCTTTCTCTCTTTCTTTGTTCTTCTAGGATATATAAACGATGTTAAAGATCAACGAAATCCATAACGTTTGTAGTTCTAGAGAAAAGTACAACAAAATTTAAGAAGTCTACAAGTGAGCAAACAAATCAAAGTCTTACCAATCATTTGAATTAATAAATTGTGAAAAAGGATTTTCTGGTCACTAGGGAATACAAATGCTGATATTACGGATAAATTATTATTATGCTGATATTACGGATAAATTATAATTATATTATACAAATGCTGATATTACGAAATAAATAATATTGTATGTAGTTAGAACGGATGAAACATAACTAAGTTAAAGTACGAGTATATTCATGAGTTTTGCTTTAACATGATTAGTAGGTTATCGAAAAAAAAAATTACTACAAGAGCCAAAATGTTTTCTTCCCTGGACACCCATTATCCTACATTCGGGTCTGTGTCCGTGAAGTCTTCTCTCGAGTCTAGTGGAAACTTTTCCACATTTGCTGTGACCAGCGACGCCACTACAGTGAAGAAAAGCTCGTCTCTAGATGGTCGAAATTCACCCAACACGAGTACAAATTTCTCTTTATGGGAACCTTTGAACAATCTTTGCCGGAAAACAGCAATTTAAATTTTCTTTATGTTTATAGTGGAAACATTTTCGCACGGAAACTTGAAAAAATTTTAGTTTCGAAGTTACGTTTAAGTTAACTATATTTCACGAGTTGGACCATCAATAAAATAATGCAACATTCGCAGAAATTGCATGCAGTGCAGCAATAAAAAACATTCAAGATTTAGGTAGGACGAAATAAATGGGTAATTCTCATTCATACCATTTAACTAAGATTTTTAGTATTGCGTCAAGCAGAAATAAATATGCAGTTCTCGTAAGTTATTACATATAGGTTTATTCTTTACCTAGAAGTTGCGTACAAGTATTTTAGTTGTCATGGCAAAGAGTATAGTGCTGTGAACTGTAGCCATTGCAAGTGAAAAAGTGACTGCTTCTCAATGCTGGTTTGCAACTTTGCCAAAATTTCGATGGTCGGTAAAGAGAGGAATTATTTATAATGCTGTAAAAACATCTCAGAAGTGTAATAGAGATACAGATTTTCAGATACAACTGTCTCAGCTACCTACAATTTCCATCTCAGGGCGTCAATGCATGTCAGTGCAATGCCTCTGACCAGTACGTCCTTGGTTTCGAGTATCGACGTTGGCAGGATTTTCAACACTAGCTGAGTCGAAATCAGTCGCTGTCTGGAGAAGACTTCTAGTGGCCGGCTCTGATCGGTAGTTTTCCGTGGTTTCTCCGATCAACACCTGGCCTAAACGGGCCACGGACCGCGCGGGATAATTCCTTCCACTTCCTTGCTCTATCGTCACCCCTTACTTACACACACTTGCATGCACTACTCATCACTCATATCGGGAAACCAGTCGGAAGCTCAGAACTTGTCCTAGCTGGGGCGGGGCCCTCGATGGTGGGAGATCCTATTAGCAGAAAACCCCTCTAGCTACAATGTAGGTCGAGGCCGGATTATTCCATCCAGCGGGAGAAAATTACTACCAACTCCCGCGATAAAACATGCACTACAATTACGGGACCAATGACTTTTGCCGTTGGCGATTTCGGAAACACTACTAAATGAATGTATTAATGAATCCAACTTTCATTCTACCGCCACGTCTTTAGACCATTCCAGACCTCCTCTCGCCCGAAAAACGCGTCCATCACATCAACTGCACGTCCACTACCACTACACTTACCACTGCCCCTACTACCACCGCACCTAATAGCCTTACTTATAACCAACACCTCCACGATCGCACACCACTTCACCTTGTACCATCACACCTACCCTCTGCCACCAAAACCAATCAACTCCATCACAACCCCACCCATAATCGGCACCACATCCTTATCCTCCACCACTCAGCAATTCAAGGCCTGTCTCTCCTATCACCGACAGCATTATGGTATCCTCAGCCACCATTACTACGAGAAGCCCACCGCAGATCCACTGCGGACCAGCGTCGTGCTGCCCTGGCCGGTGAAAACTTTCCAGTTTGGACTTCGGCGAGTTGCTGATGCTCAGGCGCCCAGGATTTCGTCAGAATGACCCCGACGAAGTCCTCTAACCTTTTTGCAACTCACGCGTGAAATACCAGTTACGAAACGCGTCCAGTGAAAAACATCGCGTAAGATCTGTTCTCCACAAAACGTTCGTCACTCTGAAGAAAGAGTCACTTTAAATTTGGTGAGAACGGTTTTATCCAGGGCGGGGACGATTTTCGTGGTCAAAGACAAGTTGCTTTACTCGTAATGATGCATGCCTTGATACCCAATTTTTCCTAACAATATACTATTTTCTAAACAGACATAGGGGGAGAGAGAGGGAGAGAGAGAGAGAAGGAAGGAGAGAGGAAGGGGAGTGATCCTAGTATTCAAGACTCGACGATGGTAGGATATTCGTCTCTATCTGGACTAGTAGATCGAATTCAGCCGTTGTCTGGAGGAGAATACTCGCTGCTCATCTCTGCGATCGGCCATTTTCCGTGGTTTCTCAGATCAACACCAGGTGCATGCCGGGACAGAACCCTGACAAACTGCCGCACTTGTCGGTGGACCAGTCGGGAGCTTAGAGCTTGCCCGGCTGGGGCGTTGCCCCGCTGATGGGAGATACCTGGTTAGGGAAAACCCCGCAAATAGACATGTAGATTGGTCACCATCCAGCGGGACATTACTGTCTCCTCCGATAATAAAAACATGCATTACAAGTAAGGGTCTGTGACCATAGCAGTTGACTCGCCCGATAACTCCAATCAATCAATCAATCAATCGACAAAAAGCTATTCGCCTTCCATTTCTTTTAGATTTAGATTTTTTACGCGGATTTGAAAAAGTACCCACTTTGTGTCACGCGAGATATGTCCCATGACCCAGTGTACGCCGTGGCTCGGGTGAGCGTTCGGTGGGAACCCCCCGGTTCGACAAGCTCTCC